ACCCGATCCTTGAAGAATCCACTCGGGTTCGGAGAGATGAGGGAGGGGAGAAGGGGGGAAAGACGGCCGTTAAGGATCTTCGAAATGAGCTTGTTGGTCACGTTACACAGGCTGATGGGCCTGTAATCGGACCAAGAGCTCGGGTTGGGTCTTTTGAGGATCAAGACGACAGAGGTAGACGTGAAGGAATCCGACATCCGGTGGCTGAAGAAAAAATCCAACATCGCCTCCTCGACGTCAGTCTCGACTAGATCCCAGTAGACCTGATAGAAGAGGGAGGAGAAACCATCCGGGCAAGAAACGCTGTTGGGATCAATCCCGAATACAGCATCCCTAACCTCTTCCCTACTCGGGAGCTCACAGAGGCCAATGAGATCGACGGAAGGAGGGATGGTGGGGAAAGGAGAAGTGTTCGGGGCCATAAGGGAGCCTCTGTCAGAGGTGAAGAGGGTCTGGAAGTGAGCAACAGCCGACTCCCGAATCTGAGCCTCCTGGGTCAAGGATGACCCATCAGCCTCGATACTATGGATGTACGACTTAGCACGCTTCTGCCTAACGAAGCCCTGGAAGAACCTAGTATTCCGCTCGCCCTCGGCCACCCAGCGAACGGCCGCCTTCTGCTTCCAGAAGTCCTCCTCTATAAGGAGTCAGAGCTGGTACTCGGCGTGGCAGCGGTGCATGGCAGTCCTATTCTCCGGAGTGGGGTCCAGGTCATAGGCCCACTCAGCCGTCGCGTGCGCACTCTGAGCCGCAGCAAGACGCTGATGAAGGTTTCCAAGAACATCCCAGTTCCACTGTCTCAACTGACGCCGCAGTCTGCCGAGCTTCGCCTCGAGATTGCGCATCCCGAAGAGCCCAGTCGGCTGAAGCCAGGAATCCCTGACAGTGTCGTGGAAGGAGTGGTGGCGAACCCACATGTTCTGGAACCTAAATGAGGAGCGGCGGGGGGTGCTCGAAAATCGGCACTGGATGAGAAGGGGTGAATGGTCAGACCCGAATCGAGTAAGGTGTGTGACAGTCGTAACCGCAAACACCTTCGCCCACGCCTCAGAAACCAAGGCACCGTCTAACCTCTCTTTGAGTCCGTCCTTCACCCACGTGAAGGGCTCACCATCACATCCAGCGTCAATTAACTCGCAGTCCGCCACCGCCTGAGCAAAATCCCACATCTCCCGTGACCGGTCCGTACGGCCACCCACACGCACATCGAGATGCAGAAAGATGTTGAAATCGCCACTAACCATCCATGGAAATCCCTCCATACTCTCGGCAATCTCACGCAGGGTATCCCAAAGGTCATATCACCCGACCCTAGTACACTTGACATAAACCAAGATGTGAAAGATGGGCTCAGGGAGGTGGGCAGCGGAAAGCTCAATGTGAAGCACCTGATCAGTGTCGTGGAGGACCCGACAAGTGTAGTCACACGAGTGGAAGAACCAGATCTTATGCGAAATATTACCCACGCCCAAGTGGAAGCCAAGACGACGCGAGTAGTAGTCAAAAGAAGGTGTGCGAATCATCGGCTCAATAAAGCCAACAAAATCGACTCTGTGATCGTCTGCAAGAACACTCCGAGCCATTTGTTGAGAATGACCCTGGTCCATCTCTCGAGGATATGATGTAGGAATTGACGTTGAACAGCCTTAACTTTCAGCAAGGTGTTAAGGCGAGCATCAAGAGCCAAGAACTAAGCATAAGGAATTTACAAGGCCAAATGTGCCAATTGCGGAACAAATGAACCGACTAGCGTGTCGGTTCGAAACGAGTCAAATGAATTCAAGCGCCACCCATTCGTGTAGCGGGGACTTCGAGAAACTTGAAGAGTGCACATACGAGTCAGAGAACGAAAAACTCACAAATATAGAGAAAAAGGAGTTGAAACAGCCCAGTACGGGGATGCCCCATACTCAGCCTGTTGTATCCCATACTGTACCTGCTGGAGCCGAAAAGCGTACCGTTCTTCCCGCTCTTGTGCCGATAGAAGCTGAACCTTGTCTTATCTCTTCCAATATGAAGTGGGTGTTGAGAAATGATGCATTGAAGCACGTCTTGCGCCTTGATATACCCTCTCTTGAGATGATCGACCAAAACACAAGGCATGAGTGGGATTTTCTTGAGACGGTGACCGTGATTGAGCGCGGGTTGCTCCACATTCTTGAGGAATTAGCGTCATGGAGATCCTTCGAATAAAGCGGGTACTTTTCCAGGTGATCCTTCGTCCGCGTAGCTTTGACTTCTAACCTTTACCGTTCAGTGAGTATCCTGCTCGACCAACCCGATTGACCCGATTCATCTTGTTAACCCGACGGACCGGTCTAATATGTATAATATCCCATATCATCTAGTCCCCCCCACTCTGGTCGAGTCTGAATGACCTGATCTAAGAGTAGGTCCTTGTCTGTGTTCTTGAGCATTGTTCCATCCGTTTCAACCAACTGATATATTTTTGACTTTGCTCTCGACCATCTCTTTCTGCAACCGCCATTTTGCATTGTGAAATTCAAATCTCCCCAGCTGTCCGTTTTGTCAGACGCGTCTCTTCATTTGTCAGGTCATTATTGTTCTGTGATCCGTGCCGCTTCGTACTTCGCACCCACTTAATCTCTCTCTTTCTCATAGCCATCTGATTGGCACTTTTAATCCAACGAATAATAACGCGATAACCATTCCCCTTCTTTTTAATCGTGACCTTTGAAACGCTGCGATCTAACGGTTGGTAATTTTCCCCTTGTATTATTTTCTACTATAAATATTTCGCTCTTCATCACTTAGATTTTCTCACACTTCAAACTTCTCGCTCTCATATCTCCTCTGCTTTCTCTGCACTTTTGAGTTTTCTGTAACTTCAAGTTTCCAATAGCTTCTCGCAGTTTAAGTTCTTCATTCTCCACCGCGACTATCTCGACTGTTAATGATGAGTAAGTTCTCTAATTTCTCCAATTTTTACTATTTTTGCTATTTTTCTTTCTTCTTGGACTGTTAATTTCAACCCTAAATTTCCCAAATCCACTCTCCCCAACATCTTATCCCTTTTTCCTTTCTCTGCCTATATTTCGAAAATTTTTCCCTTGACATTTTCCTTTGATTTTTTCCAGATTCCGCCACTTCAAGCGAAAACGACCACCACAGCGGCAAAGATATGACCCTTCCTTCTCCCTCGACCTCTAATCCTTCCAGTAATTCCGTTGAAGAAGTTACCCCTCTCCAAGCACAACCTCTAAACACGCTTCGACCAACTCTTCCCTCTCAAAGTCGCTCTACTGAAACCCTCTCTCCCTCCACCTACCTCGTCGATAATCCTAATGAGGGTGCTTCTAACCCTCCTCCTCCCCCTCTCTCTCCTCGTTCTCGACGACCATCTCTTGGTGAGAACGATGAAGATGAAAAGGAAGAAGAACCACTCGAAACCCCTTCTCCTCAACCTACAACTTCTTCTATTAAAAAATCTAACCCTTCTACCAACCGCTCAACGTCCCAACGCTCGACCTATGCACATAACACCAACTCACTCGACGTCGACCTAGTTGGCAGACCAAGGGTCGTTTATACCCTTGGTGATGAAGATACCTATGATCATCCCCCTGAAGGATGTTATACCTTTTTCCAATGTCAATTTGACCTGGGTCTCTGCTTCCCTATCTGCAACGCCCTCATTGACTTGTGCCGTGTATATGGCTTGCCCCTCAACCAGCTTCCTCCAAACGCTTTTCGAGTTTTAACCACTTTTGTTATTATTTCCTTTATCCGTTTAGGTTGAATTGACCTAGAGTTTTTCCAATACTGTTACTTGGCCTCCAAACAATCCGGGAGCTTGTACTTGAAGAGTAGGAACGACGCTCATTTTATATTACTGGTTAATAGCAATTAATAAAACCTATTAAATTATACCTAGCTGTCATTTCCTGCCAATTTCCGTTACTGTTTATTTTTTTTCCATTTTTTATTTTCTTTATTAAAAAACAGATCAATTTTGGAGAAGAGTTAACTGTGTTAAAATTGGAAACAAATCAATTATGCCATCATTACGAGTTATTGAAAATGTTCTCATTTTTTTTAAACATTTAATTAGTCTCCACAATTATCAATAATCATTTTTTTAATATCAAAACAATTATATTTAAAATATTTATTTTTTGTATGCATAGTAAATTAAAAGAAATTAATGAACAACAAATAAAAAATTAAATATCAGAAAATATAACCCACCATAAAAATATATTAAAAATAAATAAAAAATTCAGAAGCTGTTTCTCCTTAATAGCGTTTGCAATTCCTGCAAAAAAAAAAAAATTAAAGATCAACATATAGTATACTACCAAACAAATTAATTATAATTATCAACTTACAGTTCCAAAAGTCAAAATATGAGGTGGAAAAATGAAATTAAATAAATTCTGGGATAATAGTTGAGATAAAGTTGAGATAATTACAGTTCCGAATCTCAAAATATGAGGCAGGAAAATGAAATTAAAAAAAAAAATTGGGATAAGACTTGAGATAATTACATTTCCAAATCTCAAAATAGGAGGCGGGAAAATGAAATAAAAAAATGATGGGATAATTCTTGAGTAAATTCCAAGCATCAATATCCTATATTTTTTGCACATTTCATAACTCTAATAATTAAATAGTAAATGTAGCACATAATCTGGAAATTAAAAGTCATACAAATTTGTGGCAGTCAAAGAAAATCATTATGTAGACTTAATTTGTAACTGTTGAAAAAAAGAATACATTTCTCATTTTTTTTCAATCAATCAACATTTATTTATATTTTCCTTTTTATCAATCAATCAAATTTATTTATATTGATTACCTTTTTTTCCAAATCCTATATAAATACTCAACTAAATTGTCAAAAACACTCATTCCAATCCCTCCTAATCTAGATGCAGTAACGAACCAAAAAATAGTCCCAATTCCTCCAATTGTTTTTTCTTAAAAAATCATCATGTCCCCAATTTGATAATTTGACATACTTAGCAAAAAACAAGAACATGACCGCAAAGCTCCGATTGGTCCGGAATTATCCCAACTTTTACAAGCAAAGAAAGCATAAGAGAGCTGGAATTCATCTTTCATGATGTGAAGGTAATTTTTGTAATAGTTGTATTATTGATTTGATTTAAATGTGTCAAAATTATATTTTGCTAATAATATAATTTTTTCTTTGTTTAAGGGTAGTGGATTCATGGTTCGGCACCCGGTTTCTTGGCACAAAAGTTCAACGAGTTTAACCTTCTCGAAGGACGTGTATACGAGATTACAAGTTGGGACCTTAAGGAGAACAAAATTAATGCATTCAAATTAACCGAATCAAGTCATAAGTTTGAGTTTGGTGAGAAGACAAACATGTACGAGATTATTGAGGACAACTACTCGAGGTTTATGTTTAACTTAAAAAATTTCAAGGAGCTATCCTACCCTCAAACAATTGATTCTAACAAGATATTTGGTAAATATTTTGTTCTTTATGAATAGAAGTATTCTTACCCTTGTGCTACAATATAAAAGATTAAATTATATTGTTTTATTTTTTAGATTTGATTTTACGTATTGCTATGGTCCAAAGCATACGAACAACAAATTCAAATGGTGTGTAAAAAAAGTTCATCGATGTTGGGGTGAGCAATGTGACTTGGGTTAAGGAGTTGGTTCAAGAGGATGGGAAGTCTTGGAATAGGAGTTTGCTGACTGAATGCTTTCGCCAATCAGATGTTGAGGCTATATTGAACATAAAATCCTTAGACCCTCTACTGTCTGATAGATGGAAGTGGGTTTTGGATGCTAAAGGTAAATTTTCAGTGGCAAGCTCTTATTCTCATTTGGTGTTACGTAGCTGAGGGTAGTGATTCAGCTCAGAGGGATAGGCAAATCAGAGGGAGAAGTTGGAGTCTGAAGATTAAGCATTAACTCAAATACTTCATCTGGAAATGTTATAGTAATACACTCCCAGGTTGTCTCAATTTGAAGAAAAGAGGACTTGAAGTGGATCCTAGTTGTTGTAGCTGTGGTAAGGAATGGGAATCAGTGGAGCATGTTCTGCTACATTGTGTTAGGGCCAAGAGAATATGGAAGTTAGCTCCAGTTCTGAGGCTACTCACACAGGCACATTCAAACAATGGTGGTGGAATGTATGCTCAGTGGACAAAAGAGAAATTTCAGAATCCAGGATTAAGCTGACTACTTACATATTATGGTGGCTTTGGAAAGCCCAGAATCTATGGAAATTTGAAGCCGTTTGGATGCCAGATGATGCACTACTCCGGGTTGCTCAGAGTGGTTGGGTAGAGTCCAAAGGATGTAGGCTGGTGACAAAGTAGCAGTGAAGAAGAGAAAGATCACTAGGTCCATTTTGGTTCAGTAGTGTTACCCCTATTTTATGCATTGTTACTTAGCCTAGTTCTGATTGTTTTCTGTGTGTTTGGGTCTTCTTACAGTTATTGGAATCAGGTGTACTGCCTTTAACTGCTGCTTCATGTTCATTGTGTTGCTGTGTTGGATTTATCAGTATTTTTCGAGGGATTGTTGTGTTGGGAGTTTAGGCCTTCTTGTTAAAGGTCTCTGTTCCTTTGGTCTGTAACATTAGGCTACTTAGCCATCAGATTGTACTCTGTATTATTTCATTAGTGATTGAACAACTATCAATTTGGAAAAAACAAAAAGATAATAGTACAGTCTATATAAATGATTATGAGGTAACTTGAAATGTTACATGTCAATATAAATACTACATGAATGAAGTCTAAAAAATATTATTCACATCTCTATCAGTATGTATTATTATCATTTACCTCCACATCCCAATCGCAGGTTCATGTAATAATTTCATGAACCGACTTATGTCCCTGTCATTTTGCCAATCTCTCTGCAGAATGTGAGATAGAATGGGTGAAACAAGCTGATAAAGGCATGCAGAAGGGATAGTGTCATTCACTTGCACCCCTAGATGGCACACAACCATCATTATTTATCTACTTTACCCGTGTATAAAATTGCTTTGTTCGAGAATCGTGGTGATTGTCAGCAGATAATTATGCCATAAACTATGCGAAAAAGCGAAGATAATTCAGCAAGTGCAATCTAGTAATATGATAATATACGCGACATATAGGCTAAGTAAATTGAGTAAGTGCATAAGATGCAGAGAACTGAGTGAACAGTTCCGTCAATCGCGGGTCTATCAAATGTTTGTCGTAGATCAGCTTCTTGCATTTGTTTTTATATTTTTTCAGTTTCTTCTGAATTATGTACTTTTTGTGTAAGCCCTTAAAAGGTCGTCCTCTCGAGAACGTTGAACCAAAAACCCGTGAACGAGGTTTTCAACATTTTTATTCCCTAAAGTTTCTAAGAATGGAAATTCTCAAATTAATGAGGCGAAGGATCGTGGGCCGGGATGAGATCAATAACCGGAGGAAGCTGATGAAAAAATATAGAGACGATGATTTATATGAACTGATCGAGCGTACGCTGATCAAAGACGAGAAATGTATGTAGCTAAAATCAATAATACAAAATACATTTCTCATCTTCGATCAGCGTATGCTCGGTCAGTTCATAAAAGTCGTCGTCCATATCGTTTTTCACCATGTTCCTCCAGTTGTTGATATCGGCTATGACCCACGATCCGCCTCATTGCATTGGAGATTTCCATTTTTGTGTGCATACCAGGGCCGGATGGACGTGTATCATAGGGGGGGCCACGGTCCCCCCAAAATATTCTTACTAAGTATATATGTAATAGAATAAACTAGGTTTATTTAATTGTTAATTGTCCCCCCTAAGCCCATAACCAATTAATATATGTGGACTAAAATAAAGGCCCATGTATTTAAAATATAAGCCATGAAGTCCAATAGCCCATTTACCTCTCATCTATTGTATTATGTTATATTAGTTTTTCATTAGCAATAAAATAATAAAGTAATAAACTATTCTAATTGAAGATCAACAACCAAAGTCCAAAACAGATACAGACGCATTACGCATAGCCGCGGAGGAGTAAAAAGAAGGTTGTGCAAATTCGCAGCAAGAAAGAGCATCCGTTCAATTTCTTGATTCTTCTCAGTATTTTGATCATTCTTTTATATTGGTGAGTATTTTAATTTATGCTCATATTTATAATTTAATTTATTTACCATTTTTAGGGATTTAGGGTTTAAAATCATCACTCAAGAACAAATGTATTATATATAGGCTTATACTATATTTTAATTTATGAATTATATATAAGCTTATACTATTTTATAAAAATTAATTTATTATTTTTTTTAGGATATGAAAAAGTCATCAAGAATAGACTCATTTTTCAAGAGAAAACATGAGGAGATTGAGGAAGATAATGGAGGACTACCAACCGATGAGAAAGTTGTTAAGCATATTGAAAAATCACCCAGAAATGAACAAGTGGTGTTTGATATCAACAATCTTGAACGTGACCCAGGGTTACGTATGCCAATATCAAGTTACCCCGTTGATAAAATTGATGAAGTTCGACGAGCTTATATTAGCTACGGCCCTTATCAATACAAAGGAGAATATCCTTCGAGCGGCGGGTCTGGGAAGTATTCTCGTCGTTTTCAAGCGTCGTGGTTCAAGATATTTCCGTCTTGGTTAGAATATTCCCCAACGAGTGATGCTGCTGTAGCGCCCTGTTTATTTATGGATAATTTTAGGATTATTTATTATTGTTTATTAATATTATTATTACTTATTGTTTGTTATTATTATTATTGTTGTTATTATTATTATTGTTATTATTATTATTAGATGCCTAATTATCTTTAAATGCCTAAATGTTTATTATTATTATTATATTATTGTGTGTATCATTATTTAATTATAGATGTGTAAAATATATTTTATTATAACAGTCGAATATTATTTTGTTTTATCGTGCGATCCGAGCCATTTTATTTTGGCTAAACGAACCGAGAATTTGAGCCCGAGAGAACCGTATGTATTGAACCGAGCTTTCGGCCCATATAACCAGTGCCCCGACCCGAACTCGGACCCGCACACCCGCTCATGACCCATTTTCACTCTCCCTTTTATTTTTCCTTCACGTGTGTGTGCGTGTGTCATATTCTTGTGGGTCAAGAAATTATTTTAACCTAGTCAATGTATGTGTATATAGCATTGTATCTATTTCTCTCCTCAAAACAAATTCCGCAGCCTTTTATTTTTCTTATTCCCGATCTCAAATCTCTCGCTCTAATCTTCACGACGCGAGTCAGAGAGGATTTTCTCTTTCTCGATTTTTCTGAAACCTCACCATCATCGTGATCCCATCATCGTCATCTCATCTTCACCTCGCCGAACCAGACGCGAATAACCATCGTCCTCCTTCCATCACCACGTTCAGTCCCCGTCATCTCGACATCGCCATTCTGTTCGTGAGCCATCAACACGTCATCACTTCCCTCATCGTGCAGCAACTCGCGAAATCATCTCCGGCGGCCCTGCTTTTACGTTTTCCGGCGAGCTCGAGCAGACCACCATCTCCCGACGACGAGAACTCCACTTGCTGTGATCCTTTCCACCGCGCAGCAAGCCCCGATTTCTGACGAGCCATCCTTGCCGCGCCGTGTCATCGCTCAACCTCCACGCACAGACTTTCCGGCGACCTCTCCGTTCAGTCTCGACGAGCAGCAACTCCGGTGGTGACCTAGCAGCAGCCCCTCAGCGACGAGCAGCACCTCAGCGATGGCAGCCCTTTCCTCGCGAGACGACGCGTGCCGTCGAGCATTAGCTTCGTGTTCGCCTCTTTGTGTTTGTTCCGTTTTTCCGAATTCCCGAGAACGGTACCTAGTCGATTCCGTCTCGTTTAAATCGTTTATGTTATTTATGAATATGTGTGATTTACGATTTGATATGCGAGATGTGATTATTTGTGCGATAATGTGTTCGATACGAGCTATGTGATAATTGTGATTTTATGTGTGTCGTTTAAGTGTTCGAGGATCTCTTCAATTATGAGAAATTGAACGAGACCTCGAAAGTCGTGTAAGTCGGTGGATAATGGAACAATGTCGAGTCCTTGGTCTTATGAAAAGGCCTCGGACGATAAATTGTGTGTTGTGATTTAATTGTCAAGTTGTCAAACTTGTTAATCGCTGTTTTGATGTTCGAATTTTTTAAAAATAGCTCGCTGCTCGAAACGATGTGAAATTTTTAGGGATGTGTTATCTATTCATATTCTGCGTTGTGTAAAATTTTCATAATGTTTGGAGACCTGTAGCTATTTTTAATAATTAATTAGTATTCTGTCCAGAATATTGTTAAATGCATAATAAATTCACACTTGACTGAAATGAGCTGAAATTCGAATATGTCATGCCTCTGTGACTTATATGTGTTGTGTTAAATTTTTAGAATTTTTGGACTTGAGTTGATGTGGTTAATATTTTATTTATCGAATCTGCAGAAACATTGTTTGAATTTTTATAAATTGGTTACTGCATGAAAAATTCTAAATTTTTACTGAGAGGCTTATTTTAAGTGTTTAATCGTGTTTGTAAAAGATGGGAATTTTTGGAGTCCGGTTTGATTCCGTTTGGATTTAAATTCGATAAACTGCTGTTGCTCGTTTGAATTTTTAAAAATAGCAGCAGTTATCATTTAAGGCTGAGATTTTTACAAGTGTACTTTGGCATACTTTATGTTCTTGTGTAAAATTTTCAAGATCAGATTCATTCATTAAGTCTGAGTATGAATTAATGTGCCCATTTTGCTGAATTCTTGTAGGAATTTTATAAATTTATGTACTTTGAGTGTGAAGCTGAAATTTGGTGGTTTTACTAATTACTGGGAGATGTAATTTTGGTTAAAATTTCAAGGCATAAGTCGTAGGGCAGCCTGGTCAATGAATTTCATGTGATTAATAGCTAGAAATTTCTAAACTAAGATTTTGAAGTTAAATCTGTGATTTACATGCTTTTCGTTCTGTTGTGAGTTTGACTTGGTCTATCATTAGATGGAATTATTTGAACTCTCACATGTTTGTTGGTCGAGTTTAGTGCCGAGTCTTAGTGTTCCAACATCCACAAGACTTCACGAACTACTTAGTCGAAACAAGTTTGACTAGGTCTGTTTTGTGTTTTCCGTTTAAAGTCAAGATAGATGTTGATTGTAGCATCTTGACTCAATGTAGGTAATTGAGGAGTCCAGCCTCGACCTACTTCCAATTGCTTTGAGTTATTATCAATCCGGAATCCAGGTGGGTTATTCTAAAATTATCTATGCATATGTGTGATTTAAATTGTGATGAAAGTTTGGTGTGATCTATGTATGAAAATGAACATGTAGCCTATCGATGTGAGCTTGATGGCCGTCGATACGGTTGTCCCCGTATGATAAGATACGGTTACCCTGTGAGGTAAATCTCATTAAGACCTATGAGAAGGCCGTGTCATTGATGTGGCACGCACTCCCATGTTTCACTGATATGGCATGGCTTAGCTTTGATGAGCATAGATGTACATGAGTGAGTCTTTGATGAGACTAGAGTCATTGATGTGACTAGAGATGTGACATGATTTAATTGTTTATGTTCATGCTGCGACCATACCATTTATAAGTTATTCATGTGCATAGTGTGAGTACGATAGTTAACTGTACTCACTCCCACCTGCTTGTAACTGATGTAGGTTAAGCAGTTGGCGGGTGACGAGACAAGACGAGTGGTGGTTATGTCATTTATTATTGCTTATTTAATTTTGCTTCCGCTTAGTTTATGAACTCATGTTGAAAATTTGGATATTGATTATGTCGTTTTGAATTTGAGAATTATGAATTGTATTTTATGATTTGGAACTTAATGAATGCTAGTGAGGTTTATGATTTAATATTCGAGCATGCTATCTTTCGTTTTAAGGTGGTTGCTTTTTCGGATAAAGGTTTTTGGTAAATTTGAGTAGCGCCCACTGAGTTTTTAATTAAATTAAAGTTTGCGAAAAATTTATTGTGATTTTTATTAAATAAATTCGATTAATCCTTTAAAATAAAGTGGGGCGTTACAGCTGCGTTTTGTTTACCTTGTTATTTGTTCAACAAACCAGGTAAGCATCACAGTCAAAATACTTTTATTGTTGATGGGTTCAAAAATTGGAAAAAAGTACGGAATGGAAAAGACTGTGCATTTCTAAATCACATTGGAAAAGATCATAATTCATTGCACCAAATTGCTGAGAAATCATGTGGGGACCTAATGAATCAAGCACAACATGTTCGGCGACTTATTGAAAAACAATGTTCTGAAGAAGTTGCAAGAAATAGATTACGGCTTGAAGCTTCAATTGTTTCTGCCCGGTATCTTGCAAGTCAGGGTTTGGCTTTTAGAGGTCATGATGAAAGTAAAGAGTCTCTTAACCGTGGAATTTTCTTGAGTTTTTGAGTGCAATGTCTACGCTTAATGAAAATATTGCAAATGTCGTTTTAGACAAAGCACCTCAAAATGCCTCTTATACATCCCTGTCTGTCCAAAAGGACATTTTATTTGTTATCTCTATGAGGATCAAGAAAGTGATTCGTGAAGAAATTGGGGACGCAAAGTTTTGCATTATTGTTGATGAGGCGAGAGATCAATCGAAAAGGAGCAAATGGGTATCGTCTTGAGGTTTGTTGATATTTGTGGTTTTGTTCGGGAGCGCTTCTTTGATCTTGTACATGTGTCTGATACGAAGGCGATAACTCTTAAAGATGCAATATTTTCTACCCTTTTTCGTCACAATCTTGACATTCAAAATATTCGGGGTCAGGGATATGATGGGGCAAGTAATATGCGTGGTGAATTTAATGGGTTACAAGCACTAATTGCTAAAGAATGCCTGTATGCATATTATGTGCATTGTTTAGCTCATCGGTTGCAATTGGCGTTGGTTGGAGTATCTAGAGAAGTTATCCCCGTCCACCAGTTTTTTACAAAGTTAAATTTCATCATAAATGTGGTGGGTTCTTCTTGTAAACGTGTCGATGAATTAAAAGCGGCCCAAGCTTCTGATATTGCTTACTTGATTTCTATTGATGAGCTTGAAAAAGGGTCTGGACAAAATCAAATTGGCAGTTTACAACGAGCTGGAGATACGCGGTGGGGTTCGCACTTGAAGTCGATTTCTAGCTTGTTGAAGATGTTTAGTGCAGCTTGCTCGGTTTTGTTGTGCATCATTGATGAGGGAAATTGTGATCAACGAGCTGATGCAGATTCGGCTTACATTTCTTTGACCTCTTTCGAGTTCATCTTCATCTTGCATCTTATGAAAGAAATAATGGAAATAACCGATACGCTTTGCCAAGCTCTCCAACGGAAATCTCAAGATATTCTGAATGCTATGAATCTTGTTGGCACTACAAAGAGTCTAATCCAAAAATTGAGAGATGATGGATACGACAGACTCTTTGACAAGGTAAAGTCTTTTTGTGAAAGTCGTGCGATAGATATCCCTGATGTTAATGATTTATATGTTGAAAGAGGAGGACGATCACGGAACAAGCAAAATCTATTTACAATCGGTGATCATTACCATATTAATATATTTACGGTTACGATAGACTGTCAACTGCAAGAGCTAAACAACAGATTTAGTGAGCATGCCGTGAAGCTACTTGTTCTTAGCTCTATGTTTGATCCCCGCAATTCTCGATTGTCTTTTAATATAGATGACGCTTGCCTTCTTGTCAATGATTTTTATCCCACAGACTTCACGGATTATGAAAAAGACTTACTGCAAGTTCAATTGCGACATTATGAGATTGATGTTCTCAAGCATTCAGAATTTCAAAATTTGTGCCAATGGATGGCGAAAAGTAGAAAGTCCTTGATTTATCCGTTGGTTGATAGGTTAATAAGGTTGATTCTTACCCTTTCTGTGTCTACGGCGACTACAGAGCGTGCATTTTCGGCTATGGCTATTGTTAAATCCAAACTTCGAAGTAAAATGGAAGATGACTTTCTTGTAAATTCTTTGACTATTTTCGTTGAAAGAGAAATTGCAAGATCTATTACGACTGAGTCAATCATCGATGGGTTTCGTGACTTGAAAGAACGTCGGGCACAATTCTAATAGTCAGAAAGTTTGAACGGTATGTATTTTCTTGAATTTTTTTTTCTCTATTATAGAAATGCAATTGTCTTTTTAATGAAGTATGTTATTTTTGTAAATTATTTAGTCCCCCCTAACTGAATTTTCTGGATCCGCCCCTGGTGCATACCTTGAGAGGATGTATAAAATCACCTTATAATCAACATTAAGTTTTTTCAACTGCTTAATACATTTTTTTAATCCAGCATTTAATTTTTAAAAATAACTTCATATGATTTAATTAGTTTAAAAATAACTTCATATGTTTAAAAAAGGAATATTAATATGTTTGTTTAGTTCAAAATTTAACTTTAAAAAATAATATTAATATTAATTTATTGTCCATCGCAAGATATGCACTAATTTTAATATAATAAATATAATAATGTTTTGTACTCGTCCGGTCTTCCTCAACCTGGACACCAAAGAAGTAAACACGAAAACATCAATCATCACTACCTTTAGTTTTTCTGTCTCCACTCCTCCATTTTTCAAGCATACAAAAGGAAGAAAGAAGAAGACGAAGAATTTAAGAGAAAAAAAGGAAAAAAAGAGAGACAAAAACAAAGAAAAACGCTAAAAAGGAAAAGAAGAATGTCTTCAAGACAGCCATTCCCAGAAAAGCGAGCAAGACCCGATACAAGAGTAGTTTTCCTCGCGATCGCAATCTCAGCTGCTCTCATAATCCTCTCCGCAGTTGTGTATTTCCTCTATCATCTCTGGTACTCATTTCTCCAGAAATCGAGAACCAGCCCATTTGATGCTGGCTCGCCATTGAACAAGCTCCACAAGTTCAGCCACAAAGAATTAAAGAGCGCCACCAATAATTTCAGCGTCTCAAACGCCATAGGCAAAGGCGGCTCCGGCACCGTCTTCCGTGGCATTTTGACCGACGGTAAATTGGTGGCCGTCAAACTTCTCGACTCCAATTTGCTCCAGAGCGAGCAGGAGTTTCAGAACGAGTTGAAAATCCTCGGTGGGTTAAAACCTTGTCCTTTGATTGTTAATTTATTGGGGTTTTGTGTGGAGAAAGGCAAGAGGCTGTTGGTGTTTGAGTATATGCCTAACAGAAGCCTTCAGGAATCTCTGTTTCTTCAAGATCCAAACAATTGCAGTAATGATGGGGCTTGTGATGATTTTGGTTTGAATTATTTGAATTGGGGCATGAGGTTTAATATAATTCTTGATGTTGCCAAGGCACTGGCTTTCTTGCATCACGAGTGTGAGCCTCCCGTGATCCATGGTGATGTGAAGCCGAGCAATGTGTTGCTAGACTCTGAGTTCAGGGCCAAGCTCTCGGATTTCGGATTGTCAAGATTGAAGCTCGAGGGTGAAGTTGGGGTAGATTTGTTTAGCCAAGAGCTTTCTGGGAATTTGAATGCTGTTGGAGGTTTTGGTGAGGTTGAAATCGAAAACGAGAGCCAAGAAAACAATGAAGTGGATTTCGCCTTGGCTCTGCAAGCTTCTAATTCTTCAAAAAATAGTCCCAAATATCAGCATAGTTCGATGAGGTTGGCTAAAAATTGCGGTAATAGCAATTCGAAGGGAAAGGAGTTAGTTCCATATGATCACGAGTTGAGTAGTGAGGAGCATAGTGAAGACATTAGTAGCAAACAATGGGGGAAAGATTGGTGGTGGAGACAAGAGGGTAGTGAGGAATTGAGCAGCAAAGAGTATGTGAATGAGTGGATTGGGAGTCAAATATGCCCTGATCCCGATATTCCCAATTGGGAGAAAACGAGCTCCTCAAAAAATGACACAAAATCGGAAAACTACACGGAAAACAACAAGAATTTTAGGCAAGAATCTGGGTTCGACCGTCCTAATGGTGGTTTGGACAAGGAAAATCCAAAAACTCATTCAAAAAATCACCGGAAGATGCACGAGTGGTGGAACGAAGAAAACCTAGACGACATCTGCAAGAAGAGTAAAACGACGAAAAAGGTCAACAAAACGAGCCGTGCAAGAAAAAAGATAGAAAAAAGTAATTCCCACGGAGATGTTTTGAGCCGGGAGTTGAGTAGCACGACTAGCATGAGAGGCACATTGTGCTATGTGGCGCCCGAGTACAATGGGTACGGATACTTAATGGAAAAGACCGATATTTACAGCTTAGGCGTTTTGATTCTTGTTGTTGTGTCGGGTAGAAGGCCATTGCACGTGCTGGCCTCGCCAATGAAGTTCGAGAATGCAAACTTAATTAGCTGGGCAAAGAGGTTGGCATATTCAGGGAATGTGCTTGAGCTTGTTGATGAGCGGTTAAAGGATGAGTACAATAGGGAAGAAGCGAGTTTGTGTATTAATTTGGCGCTCGTGTGCTTGCAGAAGGTGCCTGAGTTGAGACCCGACATTGGGGACGTTGTCAGGGTTCTCAAGGGCGAAATGGAGATTCCGCACCGCCCGTTTGAGTTCTCACCTTCGCCTCCTTCGAGGCTGTTTAGCAGCTCCAGAAATGGCGGTTTAGATTATTAGTTTTCGTTTTGTTTC